ACTGATGGAAGGTGTTGCCACGATGTTTCTGGCTCCTGACTCATCAGGGTGGTAACTGATGAAGGTAAGGGTAGCTATGGCCATGAAACTTGATCCAAAATTGGAGTCTGTCTTCCCAAATTCTGCCACAGTTTTATCAACTTAGTTTGTGGAATATCCTAAATCCTTTGTATCATTTCAACAATGTTCATAGTACACAGTATCTTTACCAGGAGTAGATTCCATCTCAAGAAACTACTATTTTTGCTCATTCATAAGAATCAACAACTTATCTGTTTAAGTTTTTTCATGAGATTACAGCATTTCAGTCAATTCATCAGACTCTACTTCTAATTCTAGTTCTCTTGCTATTTCCATCATGTCCGTAATTCCTTCCTCTACTAAAGTCTTGAACTCCACAAAGTCATCCATAAGGGTTAGAATCAATGTCTTCCAAGCCCCCATTAATATTGATATTGACCCCCTCCTGTGAATCACAAATATTTTTAATGGCATCTAGAATGATGAATCCTTTCCTGAAGGTTTTTAAATGTATTTAACCTAGATCTATCAGAGGAATTGCTGTCTATAGCTGCTTCAGCCTTACAAAATGTATTTCTTAAATAATAAGACTTGAAGGTTGAAATGCCTCCTTGATCCATGGGCTACAGAATGGATATTGTGTTAGCAGGCATGAAAACAACATTCATCTCCTTGTACATCTCTATCAGAGCTCTTGGATGACCAGCTACATTGTCCATGAACACTAATGTTTTGAAGGAAATCTTTTTTTCTGAGTAATAGGTCTCAACCATGGGCTTAAAATACTCAGTAAACTATGCTGTAGACAGATGTGCTATCATCCAGGGTTTTTGGTTCCATTTATAGAGCATACAAAGAGTCGATTTAGCACAACTCTTAAGGGCCCTAGAATTTTCAGGATGGCAAATGAGCTTTGGCTTCTGCTTAAAGTCACCAGCTGCATCAGCCCCTAACAAGAGAGTCAGCCTTTCCTTTGAAGCTTGAAACCAGGCATTGACTTCTCCTCTCCAGTTATGAAAGCCCTAAATGGCATTTTCTTCCAACAAAAGTCTATTTCATCCACATTGAAAATCTACTCTTTAGTATAGCCACTTACATAAATATCTTAGCTAGATTTTCTGGATAACATGCTGCAGCTTCTCCTTCAGCACTTACTGCTTCACCTTGTACTTTTGTGTCATAGATAGGACATCCTTCCTTAAACCTCATAAACCAACCTCTGCTAGGTTCTAGCTTGTGCAGCTTCCCTCCCCTCTCAGCCTTCATAGAATTGAAGAGAGTTAAGGCCTTTCTCTGAATTAGGTTTTGGCTTAAGGGAATGTTGTAACTGGTTTGATCTTCCATTCAGACCACTAAAACTTTCTCCAAAGCGGCAATGTCTTATCATCATCATTCTTTGTGTTTCTTATCATTTGTGTGTTCACTGGAGTAGCATTTTTAATTTCCTTTGCATTTACAACTTGGCCAACTGTTTGGTACAAGAGGCCTAGCTTTCAGGCTATCTTATTTTTCAGCATGACTTCCTCACTAAGTTAAATCATTTCTAACTTCTGAGTTAAAGTGAGAGATGTATGATTCTTCTTTTTACTTAAACACTTACAGGCCATTGTTGGTTTATTAATTGGCCTAATTTCAATATTTTTGTGTCCCAGGGAATAGGGAGACCTGAGATGGGAGAACAGCAAATCGGTAAAGCAGTCAAAAACAAACAATTTATCAGTTACGGTCACTGTCTAGTAGGGCAGAGTTTGTGGCACTTCAAACTAATTGCCGTGATGACATCAAAAATTGCTGATCACAGATCATTACAACAGATATAATAATAATGAAAAAGTTTGAAATATTGCAGGAAATACCAAAATGACACAGAGATACAAAGTGAGCACATGCTGTTGGAAAATTTACTGATTGACATGTTTGACTCAGTTCTGCAATAAACTTATAATTTGTAAAAAAAAAAAAAAAAAAAAAAAGCCAGTAAGATAAAATAAAAATAAAACAAAAAACCTACATTATTTGGGAAGTACAATAAAATGAGGCATGCCCATAGTTTTGTATATACCTGTATAATAATTTTTCACTTGTTCCAAAAATTAAAGCAGTCTGATTAAATATTAGTTTGGTACAAAAGTAGTATCGGTTTCAGACTGTGAATTTTAAATTGTTATGACTAGGCTCAAACATGTCTTTATTAATTAAAATAGGAACTATTGTAATCAACACATTTTTGCCAATGAGAAATAAGTTTGTTTATTCCTATAGCATAAAAATCTGCTTTGGGATTCTATAAACTCTCAGAAAGCATTTTCTGCATACTGCAGGTTGTGGAAGCGTTGTCCCTGCAAAAAAGTTGTCAAGATGCTTGAAGGAGTGGTAATCGGTTGGTGAGAGGTCAGGAGAATATGGCAGATGTGGCAAAACTTCGTTGCCCAATTCATTCAACTTTTGAAGCGTTGGTTGTGTGACGTAGAGTCAGGCATTGTCATAGACAGTTGGGCCCTTTCTGTTAACTAATGCCGGCTGCAGGCGTTGCAGTTTTTGGTGCATCTCATCAATTTGTTGAGCATACTTATCAGATGTAATGGTTTCTCTGGGATCCAGAAAGCTGTAGTGAATCAGACCAGCAGCAGACTCCAAACAGTGACCATGACCTTTTTTTGGTGCAAGTTTGGCTTTAGAAGTGCTTTGGAGCTTCTCCCCAGTCCAACCACTGAGCTGGTCGTCGCCGGTTGTCATATACAATCCACTTTTCATCACATGTCTCATTCTGATAGAGAAGTGGTTCATTGTTGTGTAGAATAAGAGAAGATGACACTTTGAAAGGCAATTTTTTTGATTTTTGGTGGGCTCATGAGGCACCCACTTATCGAACTTTTTCACCTTTCCAATTTGCTTCAAATACCAAACGACCGTAGAAAAGTCGACATTGAGTTCTTTGGCAACTTCTTGTGTAGTTGTAAGAAAATCAGCTTTGACGATTGCTCTCAGTTGGTCATTATCAACTTCCAATGGCCAGCCACTACCCTTCTCATCTTCATGGCTCTCATCTTCTTTGCAAAACTTCTAGAAACACCACTGCACTGAACATTCATTACCAGTTTGAGTCAAATGCACTGATGCTGTGAGTTCTCTCCACTGCCTTACAACCCATTTTGAACTTGAATAAGAACATTGCTCAATATGCTTTTTGTCTAACATGATTTCCATAGTTTAAAATAAATATAAAATAAACAGCAAGTAATAAGTCATTAGCAAAAAAAAAACATAAAGTGAGAAATGCACATGAAAATGATGTACAACATGACCACATCTAAGAATGTATTCCAATATCAAACAGCAAATATTAACAATGCAAAAACCGAAATTATTTTTGCACGAACCTAATACTTGTTTACCTGCTTGAATATATGTTTGCTTACCTGTTTTATCCATGCTAACCTTTTAATAATTGAAAGTGTATCTTCCTATTAAAAATGGCTTGTAACCGGGCTCGGTGGCTCAGCCTGTAATCCCGCGCCTTTGGGAGGCTGAGGTGAGTGGATTGCCAGAGCCTGCGGGTTCAAGACCCGCCTGGGCAACAAGACCTCATCTCTACAATAAATCAAAAAATCAGTTCCGGCTACTTGGAAGACTGAGGCGGAAGGATCGCCGGAGCCCAGCAGGTCGAGGCTGCGGTGGCCAGGAGCGGTCACTGCACTCCAGTCTGGGCAACAGAGTGAGATTCCAACTCAAAAAAAAAAAAAACGGCTTGTAATTTAAACCTCTCGTTATGTATGTGGATATAGTTTTAGCCCATGTCTTTATTTTAAGTGTTTAGTGGTATGCTTAGCACAGTCCTGGCTGTTGCAGAGCTCCAGGGAGAGGAAGGAACTAGAATTCCTGGCCTTGTAGAACTTTTGGTTGTGGAGATTCCTTGTCATAGTTCTGGTAAGAACTCAGCAATACCAGAAAAACATTGTTAAGGTATCATCCAGGATGAAGGTCTTCAAAAGGTGAAGAGAACACAGGTTCTCCTTAACCAAGACTGCTGAGTGAGAAGAGGGATAGAAGAAAAAACAAAAAATATGAACTTTGTCTCTTTAGGGTACATTAATCCATGTTAAGTCATGATCCTCTTAGTGGCAGAAGCATAGACTTTAATTAAGGGGCAAGTTTATTTTTATTTTCTGTTCTAGTGCCTAGCAGCATAAAGTTGAAAAGTCTGTGGTTTGAAACTGAAGGTAATTACTAGGGGGAAGGTTTATTTTGGGAACCAGAAGGGAAAAAAAAAAACACATTTATTCTATTTGTTTGCTATTAACATTTTAATTTGTAAATTGGTGTACTGTTGGAGGGCAAAGCTTCATCTAGTGCGGTATCCTGTTTATAGTAGGAGGCCACCCTGAGTGTTTCTAAGAGAAACTGTGCTACCCTTTCTTGCTTGGGATCATTTTTGCTGGTCAACCCCTTTCAAATTTATGTTACACAAATCAGTACCAGATATCTCTTCTTCACTTAGCAGTAAGGGAACTAGCTTATTGAAAACTTGTTTTGCTTACTGATAGGGTCCCATTAATTTGTATTAAATTGTACTACCTGGAACTTTTAGTATATTCAAGGATGAAGAATATTAGATGATTTATATATTGAGTGCTTGCTCTCTCTATAAGCACAAACTGGATTATCATAATATGTTTTCACAATAACTCAGGAGCCCTATGAGGTAGATATTATCACTTTCGCCATTTTACAGATTAGAAAAAGGCACAGACTAAAAGTGAAGATGCATCTCACAAAGTGTATCATGTGTCAAGATGCCATTTCTCACCACAGTAGATATGCCAAAAGACATCCAAAGCTGCGAGTCCTGCCCCTTTAGAAAATGAAAAGATCTTTATACAATTATCGTTCTTAAACTTTTGGGGGGTTGTGATGTTCAGGTGTGAAAACACTGAAAAGCAGAGAATCATAACAGAAGGCCAGCGTATTTCCTGTAAGGTATGGATGTGGCTCTGCCTCTCACTGCTGTATACTCAGCAGGTGCTGATCAGGGACATAAAGAGCCTACGGACTGCGTATCCAGACCAGAACGTCATATCTCATGAAGGTGTATTCAGTTATTTTTCTACTATATAAGAAATTCTTCAACTTCAATTTCAATCTAGTAGTCTATATGTAACAAGGTATATACCTACTAACTCCTAGTAGAGAAGTTGTGAATAAAGTATATCTATGAGCAGTTTTATTTAGTAATCTGAATATTTTAGTGAAGTGATTTTTTTAAAGAACTAAATTGCTACTAAGGTGACTGATTTAAATTAATCTCTCGGCTTTCACTTTGGTAAAATTGCTAGCGTTCATAGTCAATGAAAAGAATATGGAGAAACAAAGAGCACAGTTGATCCATATGCATGACTGACCCTTGAATAACTAAGAGGTAACTCTGCGATTAGCTGGCTTTTTGACTCCATAAGGCCCTTCAAAATATTGTTTGAAGGATGAAATGAGATAACAGATGTGAAAGTGCGGTTACTTTGAAAACAAAATCACTGGACACGTGCAAGTTATTAATGAGCAGCTCCTTTCTTGACATTTTTATTCACTACTGAACTCTTTGTGCTTACACTCACTCAGTCTCTTGTTCCTTTCAGCCCTCCTCCCCCCTTTTTCCTGCCGCCTCCCTTCTCTCAAATTGATGACCTAACTACATGTAGCAGTGGAGAATGGCCACATTAATCAATTTTCTTAATGCTCACATAAATGTTTATGTTACATGACTTTACTTCTGTCACTTTTTCTTTTTTGTACGATCTTTGTATCCTTGGAGGAATTTTCAACCGTTCTCTTAGTCTTCTAATTTGTTTCACTTAGACTTATTCTCCCTGGGTGTGGAGGCTTACACTTGTAATCTCAGCACTTTGGGAGGCCTTGGCAGGAGAATTGCTTGAGGTCGGGAGTTTGAGGCCAGCCTTTAACTTTGCAACATACATTCTTCCTCTTCTCTTATTTCTCTTCATTTTTGTATCTTAAACATGAATGTCAGTCTGGCTTCATTGTCTGGTCATGTGCCTTTTGCATAGTAAGTACTTTAAAAAGTGTTCATTAAGTGACTAAAATTTAAAAAATAGGTGAGTTTTAGGAGTCCCCACACACACCTTTGTTATTAGAAAAATGTGCTGATTTAACCTAAATTTGGAAAGTTTCTCTATTCAAGCACCTGGATTATGGGTTCTCAACTTTTTGCCTAAAAAGTTTTTGGATAAAACTTTTGGATAAAACACCGTCTTTGAAGTAAGACGGTGTTTATTTTGAAGTAGTCAAAAATCTTTTTACCCTTTAGGTATTATATGACTTTATCTCTGTTTTGTTATGTGAGAGAGACAGTTAACATGAAGAGACCATTCTTCTGCGGAGTCCTCTGAAAGTGTATTAAATTCCCAGATGTCATCATAGAATATTACTTATTGATGTTCACTTTAAGAACCTTGATGATTGTTCTGTTTTCAACTAGTATGTTTATTTGCTTGCACTTGTGAGTGTTGATCTGAGGGAAACCATTCCCCGATTTGTTAAAGTGATTAATGTTTTCTCCTTACATTTTTTTTAAGGAAATGGCAAAAATCCTTAATCATCCCAGAGTCTATGCTTTTCTGCACATACCAGTCCAATCTGCCTCCGACAGTATACTCATGGAAATGAGAAGAGAATACTGTGTTGCTGACTTCAAAAGAGTTGTGGATTTTCTGAAAGAAAAGTAAGTCTGTTAGTACTTAAGAAAATAACCATTTCTTTCTTCTTTCAAAAGCATGTGGCAAAAATGCACTTATTGCAGCTTTACAATTAAAGGTACAAGAGAGAAGGCGAGACTTTCGAAGCTTTCAAAGCCTTTAAGTTTCCTTGGGCAACTTTGATGTGGTTTTTTCTTTCTCCTCAGTTTATATCCACCTTCCATCTGTACATGACACACCGTTAATTTGTGTAAGATTGCCAGTCTTTTTTAGGTAATGTGAATTGTGATTATTTTTATACCTGACCTGGTAGATGAAAACTGCTTTAGCTTTACTCTGCTTAAATCTTCTTTAATGTGGCTTTTTGAAGTTGTGATCTGGTTTTGACATGGAGGTGGGCCAAATTGTGTCACTACAAAATAGATAATTTTCTACTAAATTGCATTTTTTGAAAAGTATCTGGAATGTCTTTGCTTTTACGCACTAATCCCTGTAGTTTGCTTGAAGAATTGTGATTTACAGGGAAGTTTGAGGATTCTATTTTTTACAGCTCAAATTGCTGTTAACCAAAATCAGCACACATTTACACAATCTCAGACATGAATGATAATTCTGTTTCTACAGAAAACACTAATTATGTTCTTCAGAATCCTACTCCTCATCATCACCAAACATTGAATGCCTTCTGTGATTATGCCAAACAGGAAATAGAAGTGCCGGCCAAGGTCATACAGAGCCTTCTCAAGTCTAGGGCACTGTTCTTCCCTCTGGGGATGTGTCATTTATCTTGGCATATTTGTGGCATGGGTCTTTCTACTTTTCATAAATTTTTTCTACAGTTTTTTCCTCTGTTGTTTTTCTTAATTAAGATATAACTTTTTATTTCCATCTTCTTGTTTATAATTATGTACCTTTGTACTCTGTCACAGTACATGATATGATTGCTGTATACAAATTGTAAGCAATCATTTTTTCCACCTTTAATTAGTCATTTATTCTGACCGCATATGATTGTTTTAAAATCTGTCTCTTTTCTTTTTTCTGTTTTCTTTCTTCCACATCTTTGCTTTACGTATCTTTTCAATTTTTTTTTCATCTCTAGGCATTTCTTGATTATCCTAACCACTAATAAAGACACTTAGTGTGCATTCAAACAAATACGGCTAACCACTCAAATATTCAAATCAGCGAATAGAAGGTACATTTATACCAAGATTATATAAATTATTGAGAACATAGAAACCAGAACAATAGCAGATCTCTATCTTCTCTAATATTTTCAAATCTTGAACAGAACTGGGCAAGACTAAAGAATAAAGATTTTATGGTAAAAGTTTGTTGTTGGCCTCTATCCCTTTCTTGCATTTATTTTAGCTTATTGCAAGTAAACTTGTCTCATATAAGAGAATCCTTTCAGGCACACTGGCACTGGTGAATGGAATGTTTTCAAAATTGCAAATAAAATGTTGCACCTGTGAAATTTCTTGCCTCTTTGCTTATTAAGGTAGTAGCAAATAATATGCACACTTCATACTTGTTACACAATATTTTGCCAAGTATAGACATGCATACCATTGTGCAGAATAGACTAGAACACTTTCCAAATAGTTAGTTGCATTAATGTGGTTAAATGAGGTTAGGGAATCAACACCTGTCTTTCGTATCCACTTGGGTGAGGCTACTCATTTGTTTGGGGAATTACTGTGGCTGCTTTACTGGGCAACAGTTTCACAACAAGTTATGTTGCTCTGAAGGTGGACTGTTAAATCTGTGGCATCTTAAATAGTTTCAGCAGCCTCTGTGAACTACTGGTCAAAAGATGATCACATCAGAGTATTAGAAAATAGTCTATTGCCTTCATTCATGGACTAAGCTCAGGACCCTTTCTTTGGATTCTGAGTTACTGTGATTTCTTTCTTTGATTCTGTGTCACTATATGGTTTCTCAAGAAGTATTCAACTAACTAGAGGATCCTACAGTCAAGTACTTTGCCTATGGCTCTCCAGTATTTCCAACAATGGAAATATCAGACATCCCTGGAGAAGATATTGGAAATACCTAGAGAAGACATCCCACCCATACCCACCTGTCCATAATTTCAGTTTAAGTGCTGTGAATCACTGGAATTGTAGAGTATGAGTCTAGCCTGTTAGCATCTCCAAGAGATTTTAAAATTAAACATCTTGGGTATATGCAGCAAGGACAGAAGCAACCTTGGTAATAATTTCAAATTTAGATTATAAGTAAGATATGTTGGAAAACTATAGCAAACAATTTGCTGTATACAAATTGTAAGCAATCATTTTTTCCACCTTTAATTACTCATTTATTCTGAGAAATTAGTCATTTTGACTGAGAAAATTACAGATATCCTATTTTTTTAAAAAAGAATAAATCAGACTATCACTATTAATAAAGTGAGCATTATGTAGTTTTCAGCAGTTCTTTTAGAACCATAAAATTATGTGTTGCATCTAGTCCATCCTGTTGCCTGTAAAAAATAGTTCAGCCTTTGAGGACAGTATAATCAGCTTTGCCCTATAGTTAAAAAGAGTTTCCCTGCCCTTCTGGGCAAGTCCATCTATCCTGTGAAAACTGTTGAACTATCATCAACATTTACAAGTAAAGAAAATATTTTAAGCAGTGTTCTGCTCATATATTTGGCTTACTTTTCCCCATTAAAAATTAGCATAGTCTTATGCCAAATAGATTAGTGCTTATTTTGGAAACATCAGAGTTTCAGGGCTTTCTATGGAACTACTAGTCTGGATAACTAATCCAGCACAAAATTGTTATGTCCTGCCTCTATTAAAATTCAATACAATATTTTCATTCTTAGAGTACCTAACGCTATCACATTGCCCTGATTCGTGCCTAATACTCATAAAATGGTCCTGATGTAAAATGGTGTGTTTGGTGCTTTCTTCTTCTATTTGCTTTTTAAATACTGTCTAAATGTGGCCCTTTTCATTTATATCTCGTTTCCCTTGAAGTCTTTGAATCCTTTTTTGTAATGAGCCTGTAACAAATAAGAATCTCTCTTTTTTTCTCCGCATTGTGAAACTTCTCAAATATTCATGTTATGTAGGAACAAGGCATTTCCTGATCTTTGTCCTCAAAAAAAAAATATCCTATCTTTATGACAACTTGCAGCATTTAAGACAGAAATCCAAACTATGGGAGTTTACCTAAAGCTGCAGGCTTTTAAACTAATTATTTGGTATTTGTGGAGCTATGTTTCTCAAACAGTGGAGGTGAAATCTTTTTAATTAATTTTCTTTACAGTTGAAAATGGCCCATGTTTTAGCTGGAAGCAATGTAAGTTTACATATGAGCCAACTTAGAGCTGGTTCATTATTCTCTTCAGTTGTTTGAAAGTTGGCAGCTTTCATCATAACAGCAGCTGGATTGAAGATAACCTAGTAGTGTTGGCACATGTTGAGGCATATGGGAATTTATTAAATCATGCAACCTTTGCAAAGAAGGGTGTCTAAATTACTTAATATACTAATTTAAAACAGCTGGCCATGAACAGACCATCATATGACTTAAATTTTTCTATTCAGATTCATTAATCCAGTTGAACATTAACTAAGTAATTTGATGCTTTTATTTAAATGAGTAAGATGATTTCTTGAAATATGTAGTGAAATTTGTAGGGTTTTGAGGAGAAAGCTACATAAACAAAGCAAGAGGTGCAGTTCTGGTTTTAGAAAGAATCTATGTTTTAATATTTTTTACTACTCCCTCATATACTTTATACTTTGATTCATTGTCATTTATCTGATATCTGTTTGTTTTTTACCATATTACTTGGATTTTTAAAAGTATAAAACATGAATGATTCTCTTTTTTTGCCATATAATTTTGAAGAGTTACTTACCAATGATTTTGGACTTGTTATGTTGAGGGTGATAGAATTAGAATCCCCGGGAGCTGAGGCCTTGGATATGGAGTTTAATGGACCCCCTCATTTGAGCAGCATTGAATTTACTGTCAGTACCCAACATAAATCGTGTATTAACATATATTCAATAAATGACAACATGCAGAGTTCTGAAGCATGTGTTTTAATGTTTGTAAAAGAATCTGGGTCCTCAAATTCACACATTAAAGTTGAAAGAAATGTAAGTATATCTATTGATAGATATACTTGAAGAAGTGAAACAGTTTATATATTAAAAGACCTGCCTGCTTAGACAGGTTATTTTATTGGAAGTCCAGTGGCTTTTTTGTTTATATTAACTAGAGCTTAACTAGTTAACATATCTGTCTTTCTTATTCAGTAAATACATTTTGAGTGAATTAATGAACAACTGTGTGTTTACCTGCAAGTTGCATAGATCTAAAATAAGTTGCATCTTACTGTGACATCTTTGTGTTGATTTTTAAGCCCATGATATCTCTATCTCAGAATTTGCCATTATCACTTGTTAATGTACTGTGTACTTCAGGCTTAATTTGTCTTGTTGTTTATAACCCTAACCCTAACCCTAACGCTTTTAGCACTGTGATATTTATTCTTATCCCCCTAAGTTTACTATGTCCAGAGATTGCCCAGTGAAATACTACATCTACTATGCAAGTGGATAAAGGGGTATCTTTGAGGTGGATGAGAATAAACTAGAGAGAAGTGGCAGGATTGCAGAGAGTTTCATCCTCTGCTCTCTTCACTGTTTAATCCTTCAGTAAAGGGGCACAAGGGCATGAAGCTGGTGTCACTTTGGCAAGATGATTTCTGTGAGTCATTGAGCTAATTCATACTGTCCAGCCCTATCCTATGACCTACTTTTCCAATCTATCTGCAAAAAAATAAGTTGCTAAATTATTAACATCCTGAGTTTTTTGTTTTTTGTTTTCCATATCATTAGTCTTGGTTATCCATGTGTGCTATTGGAACACAATCTGATAAAAAGCTAAGTTATGTTAAATTTGTATTTTAGTCTTACTCATCTAGTTTATTCTCAGTGGCTTGAAAACATACATAGAATATTTGTCAGAGTAGAAGAAAGAGATGTAAGAAAAA